TTGAACTGCCAGCCTTCTGGTTAGCAGTCAGATGCCTTAGGTACTGCACCACCAGAGCTCCCATAAACACTTCCAGGTACACTGAAACATATTCAACTTAATATTGGTGTGTGCTTGGCTCCTGTGAGTCCCGTGTGACACTAAGACCTTATTTAAACATCAAAAAGCCAGGAAATTGACTAACCCTCTGCTGGGGGTCACACGGGGCCAGTGCTCTGCCTGTTGATTTATGGAATAATAATTTGCTACATCTCCCGTAATCGATCTGCAAACTCAATGACTCCTCCTGAGAGCCTGTGTGGAAAGGTGCTCGAGTCCCTGGGATGGAGCTCTAGTGGGGTAGTGGATAAGACATTCGACTACTGACCGGGAGGTCAGAGGTTCAAACCCACCAGCCGCTCCGTAGAAGGAAGATGGGGCCATCGACTTCTTTAAAGATTTACAGCCTCAGAAACGCAATGGAGGTCACTATAAGTCTATGCAATGACTCCATGGCAGTGAGGTTTTCTTTTTCTTTTTCTTTTTTTTTAGCGTCCCTGGGTGGTGCAAAGGGTTAACAGGCTTGTGTTCAAACCAAGAGATTGGAGGTCCGAGTCCACTCAGAAGACAAGCAGAAGGCGGGGCCTGAAGGTCTATTTCTGAAAACCAGCCATTGAAGACCCTGTGAAGCTGGGGTCCACTCCGACGCCCGGGCAGTCTGCACAGGTTGGAGGGGTAGCCAGATGTCCTGGACTCACCTTTGAGTCATGTGGCTATAATCTTTTTTTTTTTTTAACTGTGATTTGGGTGACAGTTTACAGACCAAATTCAGTTTCCACAGAGCAGTTCATACACACTTTGTTTCATGACATTGACTGCAATGTAACAGCTTTCTTCCCACTTCCTCCCCGTAGTTACCTCTTCCCTATGTTCTTTCCTGTCCACTCCTGTCCCCTGAGCTGTCTCCCTGTGCAAACACTGCCCTTCTGTTCTCCCACGATTGATCAATTAATCGCTCCAAGGAGTGTATCTACCCGATGTAAACGTTCACCCCATAGGCTTGTCTATTGTTTGGCTGGAAGCCATAGGAATGAGCTCAATTCCTGAAGCGTAACTAGAGGCTATAACATGTAGCTAGGAGCTCTGGTGCCTAGTGCCTAAGGCATTCTACTGCTAACCAGAAGGCCACCAGCCACTCCTCGGAAGGAAGGTTGGGCAATCTACTTTCATAGTGATACCGCCTCAGACACCCAAGGAGGGGTTGCTATGAATCGGTCTGACTCGAAGGCACCTAACAACAACAACAACAACAACATATGCAGCTATAATCTTATGGAAGTAATTTGCTAGGTTTTCTTCTGAAGCTCTGGGTAGATTGGAACCAGCTACCCTTTAAGTTGGTAACCCAAACCAAACCAAACTCACTGCCTGCAAGTCGGCCCCCTACTCATGGCGTCTCCTCCTTGGGTTTCGAGGCG